TCAGCGTGCCGAGGTGATTACGATGCAATACTTCAAATTTGGAAACCACACCCCCAGTGGGTGTGGTTCCCGGCGACTTTTCCAATCCTTTGCAGATAGGTCATGTAGCATATCATTTTTCTCAGCCAACTGAACAGATTACGATGCAATACTTCAAATTTGGAAACCACACCCCCAGTGGGTGTAGTTCCCGGCGACTTCTACAATCCCTTGCAGATAGCTCATGTAGCATATCATTTTTCTCAGCGGACCGAGGAGATTACGATGCAATACTTCGAATCTGGAAACCACACCCCCTGTGGGTATTGTTCGGCGTGATTTTCAGATCATTCGCATATAAGGCATGTAGCATATCATTTTTCTCAGCGAACTGCATGGATTCTGATTTGATACTTACAATCTCATAACCACACCCCCTGTGTGGGTGTGGTCTTTGGCAGCTTTTCTCGTCCAGTAAATTCGGGCTGTCAATGTGCCAATTGACACGTCGACATATCATAATTGTCATAAATTTCAAATATAACTGACATTTAAAACGTGTCAATGTAAGTATTTGTCAAATTTGGTGACACATTGACATTGACATATTGGATATTTTTGACATTTTCACAAATCTGTCCTTCTGGCAACAATGAGTTAACTACAGTATCATGCATATATGATGATACAGTGTTTTCTACAAAATTCAAATTGTTGGTTCTCCAGAACAGCTTATTATTTTAATCTAATTTGTTCTCAATTTTTTCACCTCGTGAAAGCCACTTTCTTCGAGAATTCAGATTATCACAACTAAAAGATTAGCGTATTGTGAATAAATTATAATTTCAAGACTTTCTTTCTTCACACCAAACTTTCACCAGCATCATTTCATTTCATTTACTCGGCTCGGCTTCAAAATGGATAAGGATTTTGAGCTCGAAGATTTTAACCAGAGCCCAAAAAGGGTTGGACGCGGACGCCAAGAGGGTAGACCAAGATCGGCCCTGAATACGGTCCAAGTAGTTAACGAGCGTCCATCTCGTCATGGAAATCAATCTGCTCTCGTGTCGCGAAGTTCTTCCGCTTTTCCACCAACTGCGACTTCGGCGCTTGTTGGAATCGCAAATGTGACCGCTGCTTCGGTACTTCAACCCGAATTTACTCGCCGAGAAAGAATTGTGTCACGGGAATCTGATGGCGATCTTCAAGGAAAAAGCCGTAGATCTGCATCTTCCGAAACTCGCCCCACGTGTAGGGATTGGATATCCCCCACCCGACGATCCTACTACTCGGCACACGGAAGCCACCGTGGCCGAGTTCGACTGTAAAAAGGAAGAACCTCTCTCCAGCTCAGACAGACCGACCCGAGGATTCCGAGTGTGAACACCTCCACAACTCTTCTCTCCATATTTCCCTGCACCACGCCATCTGCGTGGCTGCCATCTTTAAAATAAATTCTCCTACCTAAATTAAGTTCCTAAAATTCATTTTGTAAGAGTAATAATTGCTAATGTGAGTAGTAAAGATTCTGAAACTCTTGTCAAGTGAAAATTACGAAGTATACCGCTATTGAACAGTTTATTCGGGTCATTGTTCATAAAAAATCGTACATTGAGTCGTGCTAGGTGCAGTTTAGTTTAGAAACGGTGCATAAGTGGAAATCGGAGTAAAAAACAAGACAGTATTTCTAATTGCCAAGCGAGAGACAATGCATCCTCCTCCCCGTGCGTCGTAGCTCCCATCCGGCTACCCCCCTGTGGCCAGTGAAGGTGTCCCGTGATCAGAAGCGTGTCGCATCCGTCCCCCAAGGACCCTGACGTCCGGTACTCGATGACTCGCGCCCATATTCCCCTACCGAGCCCACGGCGACATCATCATCTCCGCCCACACACGATAACATCTCTTGACAAGATGTTATCTCAAGCGGAACAAGATTTCGTACGACACGAACAGCGTCGAAAGGATGATCAGAGCGGATATGATGATATGCATTCCTTCGAGGAAAATGGATTTGGCGAAGGATCTCGAACAGTGAGAGGACATCGGGCGTCTCACTCTGCCCCCGTGGGACGTATTCCACGAAGCAGGTCTCAGCCCATTAACCCCCAACGGGAAAGTACGCATGAAATCGTCCCCTCAAGACCAAGACGAAATTCAGGTTAGTCTTACTCATTACGGAAATGTGTTCATATTTATGAAAAGTTACTAAAAAACGTTTACATATTTACGGAAAAATATATTTTTGAAATATTTATGCAAAGTAAATTAGATGTGAGAAAATGTAAATTAGATGTAAATCAAAAATTTTCAAAACCCAAAAGTTTCAAATTTTCAAAACTCGAAACGACCTGAGCCAATTCAACACAGTATCCACGTCACCTTCGTAAAGTGACGTGGATGATGTTGCTTCGCAACTTATCTTCGCAACTTTGCGTTGTTTGCGAATAGTTCCGTTGCGAATGAGACAACCAATCGGATTCCGTTCTTTATATGCAAAGTAACAGGCATCTGTTTACGCTAAAAAACAGATTTTTCGCAAACTCGTTGTTATGTGAATTTCAATATCTCCTCTCATTCTTTATGTTTAGTTTATGTTCAGTGTATCTGTTGTTAAAAAATACCTGCACGAAATGACTGCACAAAAATATTTTTAAACGTTTAACAACACCCACCGAAATTCCGGAAAAGTGGTTGCTAATGCACACAAATGCATGTAAATTATATAAGTGGAAATAATATTGTAAATATGTAATTATTTAATTTACAAATCGTTGGGCTATTTTGTGGTACTTTCCTCAACATTTTAGTATTTTAAGGGCAACGGATTTTTAAATTTATAAAAGTATGTTTCAGTTTTCTTACTATGGAAAATGAATGAAAGTTTGTTAACCTTCTGGAATTATAACTCGAAGTTCATATAAGTGAATCTTGACCTCATTTGACATGAACAGAAAATATAATTTTTTTCAAAATATGAAATTCCATACATGAATTGTATTTCATCCATTTTATGCACATTTGTGCATTTTCACATTTGTGCATTTATGCGTATTCATGCACTTTCATGCACTATGTATGCAAAATAAAAATACTTAATATTGTGTGCATGCATAAGAAGAAAAATGTATAGGTAATTAGGTATTAATTTCAAATATTTCGTTCACCACACCGATTTCGTAAACGGTGGAAAGTTGCGAAGCGACGTTTTTGAGCGAAATGAATACTCGCAAACTAGTAGAAATCTGGTATATTTAGTAACACAAGTATTGAATTAAAGTTGACACCGCTTGTAATAAAATTATACCGACTGGTGAAAATTTGGTAAAGATATGGTGAACCTTTAATACCTAGCTATTACTACGCGGTATTACTTATTAATTACAGTTCTGTACAGTCATATATGAATACCGCTTGGTACTGGATTTCCAAAAGTGCATAGTGTTTTATGGCTTGATTTTTTTAATGCACAGATTTAAGGACGGCTCGCTCTGAGACTTCTTTGAACTCGCAAAGGGCAACAACGAGTGGCAGATTCAGGACCTTGGCGCACAGGGCGTTAGTCATGGAGGATGAGCAAAGGGCAATCGACACTTTCGCCGGAGGTGTGGCTCCTCTCAGATACATGTACAACTTGGCCTTCATTTTCTGCCTGGGGGGTTATTTTTAATCCACCAGACTTTTAATTGAAATCACATAACTAAATATATTGAAATCGCATAACTTGAATTTCCAGTGCTTTAATTCAATTTAAAAATTGTAAAATTGAAATCTGCCAGACTTTTTAAAATCGTGAATTTTATTCAATTTAAAAAATTTACCATTAAAAATTTAAGGAAAACATCAGTTATTGTTTTAAAATGTGTTGCAAATTAATTTAGGCAAGTATGTAATGCCCTGTGTGCCTTCGCGGAGCGATCCCTACGTCACTTTGTCCCAATAGTCACAGCTTCATCTCTCTGGATTATTGCAATTCCAATGAAATGGATATATGTAGATGTACATATAAGTGCAGGCATACCGGTTACTTAGGATTAGTAGACAACGAAATCCGGGCACCCCAACTTACTTTTTAAAGGAGCTTGTTTCTTGTCGATGCTTTAGTTAACAGATTTTTTTGCAGTTGGAGGTCATAATCATATGCCGCGTGTCATAAGACATTAAAGACATTCTGTCTCTGACATTCTGTGTTAAACACTCTTAGAAATCCAGTATCCAAATAATACCAAACGGTATTCAGATATGACACTATGAAAGTGGTACTGATTGATATGGTGTAGTAATAGATCGGTATTAAAGTTTACCGTATCAGTAGGAAGGTTTTACGGAAAGATATAATTTTAATACCAAACTGCAGCAACTTAAACACCAAGAAATCAAAATCAATACCTGATTATACCAGATTTATTACACTAAAATAGTTGCAAAATTCCTTATTGTGTCCGATTTTATACTAATTTGCACCCTTAGGTCATGGTAGTATCGTTTACTATTGGTTACAAAAGCAAGAGATGGTGTTATTTACCTGAAAAGGCACTAAATTAATGGGGTTTTGCATATAATTAAATGCATAAGTTATGAAATTCCGTGTCTGATGGATTCAGTTATAGAGGTTGTTTTAAGGCATATAAAGTACTGGAAATTCAAGTTATGGAATTTCAATATATTTAGTTATGTGATTTCAATTAAAAGTCTGGCCCATTAAATGAGACCCCTGCCTGGGGACTTATTGGATCCACATTTTTGAAGGGCGCTATCACTTGCGAAAATTTGTCCCGCAGATGGTAAGTAGATTTTCAATTTAATTTGAGTTTGGAAAAAAGTGAGAAAACTTGACTAAACGTTAAATTAGATAAACAAGCATGCATACATTAAATTATTTTAACGTTGTTTTGTATGCGGGTTTTGAATTCGAAGTTTATCTGTATAGTGTCATTCTTCTTGTTATATAAAAAAATCGACGTTGAAACCTGATTATACATTTTTTTTACAAATTTAAGATTTTATTTAATTTTTTAGTTATGTATAAAACGGTAGCAGCTTAAAAATTTATTTATTTTTTTCCATGAGCGGAAGAGATATAAAATTTTTGTTTCATGCAACTTCACAAATTCTCTTGCAATCTTCAAGGCGATCAAAATACCGATTGTAACCTCGGCCAATCTTATTATTAATGCAAATTGGGTATGTTGTTGGAATGCATATCTTTTCAAAGTGGACGTCGAACTCCCATCTGGTTATACTGGTTTCTCCCTACAGTATCTATTAGCCTCAGGGAGACCGTTGTAGCATCCTTGGAGTACATGTGGACAAAAATTATACATTGAGCATATTCACGTCAATCTTCGTATATTTCGCAAATTGGGCATATTGCAAACTAAAAATCTCTGTGAGATGGAAAATTTCGCGCTCTGAATGCTCAAAGAGGCCAATGCTTGTATTTCTCCGTCTTTCAGATTTTTACATTACAATAGGAACATAATTTTCATACCATTGCAAGTTTTCTGAAATTTGCGATGTTTAGCAAAACTTTTGCTGGAAAATTATGAGTTTTCGTAAATTTGAAAAGATTATTTCGCATATTTCGTGATTTTTACTGCGAAGTAAGTTGTTGTCGTAGGTACGATCAATGTAAAATTAGATAAATTGTTTAATTACTTGAAGGTAACTTGTAATTGCTCGTTTCGGTAGTGAAAAATACTACTGTGAGTATGATCAGGATGGTGCCACGTGTCATTTTATTCATCCACAGATTCTGTGAAGCAAGCAAAATTATTGATTGAAACTGGATAATTTTCAATTTGTTCCAATAATTTTACCGTTTTGTAAATTCGAAATTTTAATAGGCGTCAATTAACTGGAATTCTTCGTTCGGCTGTTTAAGCTTAGCAGATGTGACACGCATGGAGAACTGTTGCTTTGTACATAAATTGTTTATCGATCATTAATTCCTCCCGAACTGAAAGGGGGAGATAATGGCAGGAAATGCGTCATATTTAATTTGAAAAACCATACAAAAAATTAATAGCTTTGAAATTCTTTAACACTAGTTAACACTAACACTATTTAACACTATTCTTTAACACAGTTCTGGATGGATGAAATCGTGATATTCGTTTTACAAATTTCCAAAAACGGTCTAAAACGGTTGTATGGAACAAAATGAGAAAACTTTTGGTGAAAACCGATTTCAAAAATAGTGACCCGCCATTGCGCTAAAAATCGCAGACCGAGCGAATTTTTCCAACTTTGGGCTCCTCCCACTCAGCGAGGGGGCGGAGTATTTCCAAATTATTGGCGCCGCTTAACTCATAAAAATCAGCTCTACAAATGCTGAGAATCTTATCAAAATCAAATTTTGTTTTTGTGAAGTGATTCTGGTTTTCATTATTGTTACTGTTAATAATAAACTCTGTGCGGTGGCAAAAAGGAGATGGGCGATCCATGAAAAGGTCACCCACATACCATATAACAAAAAAACTTTCAAACTTTGCCAGTATTTAGAAAAAAAATAATAGAAAATCATTTTTCCTATAAAATTTTTCGATATTTCACCTCTGTGACCTGTTGTTAAGGGGTAAAACTCATTAATTTGAATACGTTTGTTTGCTTATGTGCATGGTAAGTTGATAACGATTTAATGAGGGACCGGGTTTATTACGCTGGGAATTGAAAGGTGTACCATATATATGTATGTGTGTCAATTTTTTTAAACTCAATCACCACAAATAATGCAGAAAATAAGGGATTTCGGTGGAACTAGATTTCGGGCTGGCGGAGAAGAGGCGTGATTTGCCGATCGCGCCGCGCAGGGCTACAATAATAAAATATTATTTAACAGCAGTTTATTTCTATTTTGACGTAAAAGTCATTCAATTTTGTATAAGTTGTACGTCAAAATAATAATAAAGTGGTGTTTAATAATATTTAGTGTAGCACTCCGCGCTCCCAACCAAATCGCCTTGTTTCCTCCGCCACCCCGAAATCTAGTTCCACCGAAATCCCTTGTTTTCTGCATTGTTTGTGGTGGTTGAGTTTAAAAAAAGTGTCAAGCATATGGTACACGTTGTCAACTTTAAATTCCCAGCGCAATAAACCCGCTCTCTTACTGGATTAAGGTATTAATTTTTTTGTTACGCGGTATCTGGGTGGCCTTTTCATGGATCGCCCATCTCCTTTTTGCCACCGCACAGAGTTTATTATTAACAGCACAGAATATAGATTCTACCAGAAGAATCGATCTTATGTATTCGAGTGATGCTTATGGAAGAACGGGGAGAGCCAACCAAATAACTCGGTGTACATTTGGCCCACCTGGGGGATGGCACCTCCGCATCATCATCATCACCACATCTCCTGGCATCAAAAAATGATGATGAAAGCACATAGGTGGCGGTGGCACCCCGATTTGTGCACCAAAACACACCCTCGTAGAGCATCAAATTTGTGGAGACGCAGCTCAGAATTGTGTGTTCTGGTGCACAAATGGGGGTGCCACCGCCACCTATGTGCTTTCATCATCATTTTTTGATGCCAGGAGATGTGGTGATGATGATGATGCGGAGGTGCCATCCCCCAGGTGGGCCAAATGTACACCGAGTTATTAAGTAGCTTCAGCTACTTTATGTGAAGACTTTGTCTGTCTGTCTGTCTGTCTGTCTGTCTGTCTGTCTGTCTGTCTGTCTGTCTGTCTGTCTGTCTGTCCGTCTGTCTGTCAGCAGGATAACGGGAGAACGGATAAAGATAATCGAAATCGGTTTTCGCCATCATACATAATACCCCAGGGGGAGGATCCTATCAACTTTTGGGTGCAACCGGACCACACCCCCGGTCGCCAGGGGGTCTGGTCGGGGCAAAATGAGATTTTTAGTGCAATTGAATCTATGGATGAAATGGAGTGAAATTTTGAGTTCCCCCGTTGTGCCACACCCCCCGGGCGCCAGGGGGTGTGGTCGGGGCAAAATGAGATTTTTGAAAAAATTGAATGCATAGATGAAATACAGTAGAATAAAGTGCTCCCGAGTTGTGCCACACCCCCTCGTCACTAGGGGGTGTGGTCAGGGCAAAATGAGATTTTTGAAAAAATTGAATGTATAGATGAAATACAGTAAAATCAAGTGTTCCCGCGATGTCGTGGGAGTGCTTGGAGTGAAGTAGTCTGAAGCTACTTCCGTATGCGCGTTTGCGACGGTTTATTTGGTTGGCTCTCCCCGTTCTTCCATAAGCATCACTCGAATACATAAGATCGATTCTTCTGGTAGAATCTATATTCTGTGTATTAACAGTACTCTATATAGATTTATAATAATAATTTGGATGTAGCCTATGATAATGATGGCTTAATAAAATCATACACAACTACATAGTATAAGACGCTAATGTGCTTATCATTAGATTATTAATAGTGAAATTACAGAATAATACAGATATTAATAGGGAAATTTATCCCTATGTACAGTTTTGTGGAAAACATTTTTTTATTTAATGGAGTAAAATATACAAAAATCTTGCTTCATTTACCTTCACAAATTCTCTTGCAATCTTCAAGACGATCAAAATACCGACTCTCATTGTAACCACGGCCTTTGTTATGAGGAATACAAATTGGATCTGTTGTTTCAATGCATATTTCTGTAAAGTAAGAGTCGAATTTCCATCTCGTTACTTCAGGATGTTCTGTACAATATTTGTTAATAGGAGGAAGACCGTTGTTGCATCCTGTGGGGTACATATGCACAAAAATCATACATTGGGCGTACTCACGTCAATCGCCACTCATATCTCGCAAATTGAGCATAGCAACATAACTTGCGAAGTTTCCCGAAATTTTTTCGCAAATTTACCCAGCAATTGGGCATGTTTTTAATATTTAGAAGATTATTTCTTAAACTAATCATCAGCTAGTGAAATTACAGAAATCCATGTAAACCAAATTTAATTATAGGATAAGAGAACTTTTTATCAGGGTTGGCCAACATACAAAATACCGTTTGTATCTGAAACATTCAGATACAAGATACGATAGTGCTTACACACAATCCAAGATGCAAAAAATGTTCTGTAACTTGTATCTTGTAACTTGTATCTTCTGTATCTTGTAGTTTGTTAAATAATCTTGGGCAACCCTGATTTTTTAAATATTTGCTAAATCATACTTTGCGAAGCTTCTCACAACACGATTTTTTTAGCTTCGCAAGTTTGCTCAGAAAATTACGATGCGACATGAACGCTCAATTAAAAATTAATCATGTATAAATAGATTCTTAATTACTGTAAGGTATCGCTTCGGAATTCAAAAATACCACTGTGAGTAGAATCAAGATGATACAACTTGCCATTTTAATTATTGACAGATTCTGTGAAACAAATAATTTTACCCCAATTAGTTATTTTAAAAGAATTATATTCACTTTGTCCAAATAGTTACCGCTTAGTAATCAAAATTAAAATCTTATCTGGTGTCTCGTGTGGAGGAGCTTTCCTTCAGGCTGTTGAAGCTAAATAGAAGTGACACGAATAAAGGCTTTGTGCAATTATTTATGGAGCATTAATTCCTCCCGAACAAAGTAGGGAAAAAATGGCAGGAAATGCGTCATATTTAATTTGGAAAATGAAATAAAAGAATAATAGCCTTTGAATTGTTACTTATTAGCCTGAAGAAGTATACTAGTGTACAATTCGCAAGCATGAAATGGCGAAGTCAAAGGTCGGCTCAAGATAATAAAATATTTTATGGTTTGTCGTCTAAGTTTATTGATAGTTTGCACAACTACATTCTAAATTAGTTATTATATTATAAAATTTAGGCAAGGTTGAGAGTCTGAAAGCAATAGTACAAATAAATATTCAGATGGAGGATTTTTCATAAGGGTGTAAACGAGCGTATTTCCTTGCCCCCTTCCTACGGGGGGATGTATGGTCAAGTCCGACCGTGGAGTATAACTATCGTTGAATATGCATATTCACATGTGATTGACGAGTTGTGTACATGAAACATGCTACAAATTATATCGTAATGTCTTGTAATATTAGAGTTTTGCAAGAATAAAATTGAAAAGACATTAAATTTTGTAATTGTCTGATTTGTTTGTTTCAACACAACCGTTCGAGCTGTAGCGTTGACAGGAGTTTTAGGGCCCTGTCTTGACAGCATACTTAATTAGGCTTCGCCGTAACCATGCGCTTTTCTGTCGTGTGGGTGGCCCTTGGCCCTCCTCACCTCAAAAAAATTGGGGACTATTTGCAAATTTTATTTGGTTGCTATCAGGTGCAATTATGAATTCCACATCGTACCTAAGGGAAATTTTAGTAAAAAATCAGTAACACACTCGGTTAAATCGTTTAAAATCTGTGGAAATACATTATAAAAATATTCACTGAAAATGCAGATGTTGGCATATTCCACGTTTATTCTTTTTATCGGGATAACTCTACGCCGCGAGTGCCTGCAACGACACCTGAGTAACTCCGTGATTATCGTGGTAAGTGCATATATAAATCTACATATTAAACTTATACACGAATATACACCTGTTTTTTTCGGTTATGAAATCCTCGACGTCACCATTGCAATGCAATTTGTAATGAGAGTGATGACGTAGTATCTACTTTTCGCCTTACCAACAGCCATATTAGTTTGCATATATTTCACAATTCCTATTTTCGGTAAGACTGTGTAACCTCAGTAAAAGATTTGATTTCGCGATTTGGCAACTAAAAAATCCTAATTTTTGCGATTTTTAGGCTACTTAATAAATGAAAGATTGCCATTAAATTTTAATATCAAATAGTAGTTTTGATAAGTACAATAGATCCTTACTAAATTACAGTGTACTCAACTCTTCTCTGCTGCGAGGAGTTTGGTTGACGACTTGAATAAATCAATCTGGGAGATTTCATTAATTTACTTCACTTTAACGTTTCCATTCTTGACGGTATCCGCCTTCGAGATAACCAATTGTATTGCGAATGGAAAATGTGATTGGCTCAAATCGAATACAATTTTCCTGATGCTTAAACTTGTGGTGCCTCTGGTTGCATCTATTGGATCGGAAATGGTATGTACCAAGTAATATCATATGTTTTGTGCAGCGCTTTTCGGTCAGGAAAGTTAGTGGCAGTTCTATTTTTCTCAAATTACCATGAAATTATCCATCAGAATCCATTGTTAGTGGCACAGTGTGACATAATGCAGAATTGTTCAACGAAGCGTGTTGTAGAAGGCATAACCTATTAATACAGCTTTGATTTAATCCGAGCAGGATTGACTAGTAAATCTATGTGTCCGTGTATTTTATAAATTTATCTGTAACTCTTTTACAGTGGTTTTTGCATTAACTAGCGCAAAATTGGTTAGCATATTGGACAAAACATATGGCACTACTAATTATTGTTACATATAACCTAGACGTCCCACACTTGATAATTATAGTTGACTAATCGCAATATATCTTTCAAACAGGGTTCGGAAAAACCCAGGGTTTTAATCAAGAATTATAAAACCCATGGGTTTTAATGGGTTTTACCATGTTAATTGGGTTTTAATGGGTTTTAATGGGTTTTATTGGGTTTAAATGGGTTTTATAGGGTTTTATTAGTTTTAAGTAATAACTTAACAAAAATAATTAGGAATTTGTATCTATTCGGAAATTATTTTGTTTTATAACACTTGAAATCTGTGATGGTAAAGGATGGAGTCAATTATTGAAGTGTTCCGAATTTTCATATACTAGAATAGTAATGAAATAAAGTGCTTTAGAATGAATTGAGATAACGTCTTCTAACGTATAGGAGATGTATTTAACTTTTAGAATGTAGTTTTTAAGTAAAACTCAATTAAAACCCAATAAAACCCATTAAAACCCAAATAAAACCCACTTAACATGGTAAAACCCACTGGGTTTTATTCATTTACAACCCATTAAAACCCATTAAAACCCAATAAAACCCAACCCATTAAAACCCAGGTCGGAATACCCTGCTTTCAAATATTTGTACAGATAATGAATGTCAACAATGAAATTCGGATTAGACTTGACTACCGCGACCTTGAGACCGAACGTCTCGTTGGTACTCCGACCCGGTCCGATAGACGAGCATATCGCGCAGCTTTGATTTCCGATTTTGAAAATGCTGCCAAGGAACCCATCACCCTCCGATGTCTTGGATTTTTCTCGATCCATTACAAATGGATTGTCTGCGTAAGTAGAATCATTCGAGTTATTAATAAGGCAAATGAGACCTGTTTGAACAAAATTATTCATTTCGTTATTTCAGGTCCTTGCTTTCGTTTATGGAGCGTCATGTTTTCTACTTGAGCTCAAGTTGGGATTGCGAAAAGGAGCTAAGTGATTTTACTAAGGGAGTAAGTAATTGTAAATGCACAACAAACGAGAGTTTGTTATTAACTGCTAATCAAAGTTCGAGAGCTTCAAAATATGATTTGCGAGCAATATAATTTACATGTCGTATCTCTTACAAAATGATTCCCATTGCTAAAATAGATGAATGATTCCTTCAGAAAAATGTTGTAGTTCTAGTAATCTGCATATGTAATGTAGCCTTACAATTGTCCCAGAAAAATTCACATTGAAAATCACCGAGTATTAATGAGCCACCCTATCCGTAATGCACAGAATGCAAAAAGGGCAAATTAAGCACCTTATTTTTAAACTAAAATATGCTTGATCACTTGCACACTATGCACATACATTTAAAGCAAATGTCGTTGTATACTAACGTGTATAATATTGTTAAATAATATCGTTGCATATGTATATGTATGTATGTATGTACAGTTCCGTGTTTAAATTGTTTAATATCAGTTTATTTTATTGTGATGTGGAAAATGAAAATCATTCAATTTCCCAAATTCCATACACAAAATTGAATTAGTTTCACGTCAAAATAAAATAAAACATTGGCAAATAACACATATTGCGAATATAATTCAAAGTATAATTCAAAGTGTATTCAAATATAATTTGGCGAATATAAGATTTTTAATAGTATTACTTGCAGATGGTAAGACTTACTCACAAATAGTGTGTAGTTGATTAAAAAATCGGCAAAGTTTCATTTAATTTAAAACCTTGCAAGATAAATCCTTTGTAATGTAATGTAAATCAATAAATGCACATATTTACATGTATGCACAGCGATATACGTAAAATATAATTCATTTATTATACAAGGCTGGCTAATCCGAAGTTGTTACATATGTACGAATGAGATTCGTTATTGTGTGATTCATAATTTTTATTGCACTTATTAAGTATCATTTTATTAGAAAACTATTCCAGGCGATCGCATCGAAATTCTCATTCTTGAACGAAGGAAACCAATATTCGATGAATAATTCTTACAAGGCTCATGACCCATGGAATTACAGGTAAATTTTCAGTATGATTTAACAATATTACACGACGGCTGGAAACGGCTGGAATTATAAATATGAACACGACCTCTGGAGTTGAGTAACATAAAAAATGAACCAATTTATCCATTGCATTTGCATCGTAATTAAATGTTTTTTTAATCTATCGGTCACACTTCGTCTTCCCCTACACTATTTTTTTGCACGCGACAAAGACCGCACGGGTCGCCTGCCTCGTTATCCATCCTGCCTAATTAAATATTCTCAATATGCCTTGGGTCACTATACACACTCGCAACTTTTTTGCACACGATGGTTAACACGTACGTGTGAATTGTATGTGTCGGAGAACATGGCACGTGCTGCAACAAGCAACAGGGAAAACGGTGCTTTAACATGCGGAGAAAGTTATGTAATCCAGTCCAGACTGGGAATAAATCTGCTTGTCGGCTCGATCCGAATAAATTATGCATACCGTCTACCCTACGACTTTTCACCCTCCAAGCAGCATAAACCATCTTCTGTCATGGAGATAAATATGTTGCTTCACGTGTAGTGTACATACATCATTCCCCACGCTTCGCCGCAATTTTCTGCATAAGACTTTCTCCTTTCTTCTCCCCATTCTGCGATTAGAATGAAAAATGTAAAATCTTTGTAGAATCAGTCTGTATGTAACCAACTTGCAATACAGTGGTTTCTTGCAGGTATTTTGACCTGCAAGAAATGCACGGCTCAAGAAACTACACGTCGTCGCTATACTTCATACGGCGTGTTACTAGATGGGCCATATTTCTTGCAGTTTTTTGCCGTTTTTAGCACGTTACATTTCTTGCGTTGCGGAGCAAAAAACCAAAAAGAAAGGGAATATTTTGTAGAATAAAATGTCACGAAATTCAGAACAATCCGAATTAATATGCGAAAATAGATATTTTTCATCCTGCTTTGTTATTGTTCGTATTTATATCTTCGGTTATTGATAAATGGGTTTTAGTAGTTTCTCCTGAATCACGGACTTCATCTTTCAAGACTGCATGGTTTGAAAAGTGAAATGTAAATTTAGTCAATTTTCCATTAAAAATTGAAAATTGTAAAAAAACTTTCATTTCTTGGTAAATAAGTAAAATCGCAAACTTAAATTTAAGTTCAAAATCTTAAATTTCCAAATTGCTATATTTTATAGCCGAATACAAAAAATGCATTTTACATACCATATTTTAAAGATTCA